ATATATATATATATATAATCTATCGGAACTTAATATATATAAACCTTCTCAGCCACTTTATGTAAGGTTTCACGTTTTGCATTGTACAAATTAAACAATACAATGGAGAATATAGGTATATTTCTTTAACTATGTTGCATCATCTGACCCCCCCAAAGCCAAGGAGAGTCGACCGGAGTCCGTATTGACAATAGAAACCTTTAGCAAACCCGACCGAAGTTACAACCCCGGGAAATCATAAAAAAGAAAACAACGCTGAGTTTAGCAAGCCTATGCAAGCCCAACACAGAAACCCTGGAATCCCAATCCTGTCTATGTTAAATACAACCATCCTTCCGAGCTGATGCGTCCGAGGGCCGTGGAAAGCCTCGGACTGGAGGCGCGTGCCAAGCAGTGCAAGCTGAAGACCGCAGCGAAATCGGAGGCTGCCGCGCCGAAGGCAAAGCCTAAGGCAACGCCCAAGGCGGCTGCTAAGGTGGATGATGAAGCCGAAGCTAAGGGAAAGCCTAAGGCTGCCCCCAAGGCCGGCACCCGTGTGCGAGGTAAGACTTCCGAGTGAGCTCGGTGCACCAGCTTTTTAAGAGCTACAGAAGTTCTTGCTAGGATGGTGTGGGATTGGACTGGGCCTGCATGCTAGCTACTATATATCTACATATACAGACAATCATCAGCTTCAGCTTGTATGGGGCCTCGAGTGTTCATGCAACCGAAGCATGCATAGAACCCAGCTGTAGAACCTGCTCCCATCCTAGAGGTCGATCTATACCGGTCCTAGTATCCGACGATACTGCTGCATTCTGTCGAGTGCAAAGGGCCAAGCAGTTCTGGAGTTATCGGCATGGAAATGCCATGGGGACCCACTGCAAAAGTTGAGGTGAAGAAAATACAGTGCACATCCATGCACGCATGATCTACCGTGTGTGGAGTATTGCAATCATGCTGCATATATGCAAAAGACAATCGTTAGCATCCCCCGCAGGTCCCGGGCCAAGCGCGAGCAAACTGGTGGCGGCTTTGGGGAATGGTGTGTGGGGCTCAGTTTCTATAGAAGCCACTCAGAGCTTTTGCAGGTTTCAGGGTTTTAGGCCCAGGTTCCAAGTGCGGAATGCAGTTGCATGCAAAACACCAAATCCAAAAGCGCACCCTCAAGCCCCTATACTCAATGCTTATAAAATTGAAGTAACCTTCGAAATCCCAAGCCCTCAAATCTGAAAATATCCAAACCCCCAAGCCGGCTGACAACCTCGTTAATTAAGTTTTTGCAAGTCTAAATGCGAACCCTCTACGTTACCAACATGTTATAGCTAGGGTATATGAATTTTGCAGAAGCATGACAGAAGCTTCCTATCCGATGTCTACCCTACTATGCTATATAGATGATCGGTCGAAACCCAAATAATATATACTCCAACCCAAAGGATCCCGCCAAACGGGTGGTCGACCTCGCCAAAGTCATCGAGCGGGAGGCACCAGGCTGCCTCAGAGGCATCAAGCTGATGTCGAACGTGGATCTTTCGCATGCGGAGATTAGGCTTCACAAACTGGTTCGGGAGTGGGGACTGACGCTTGACATTCCAATGTCCTTTATGAGACAGGGCCTGTTTTGGGTTCCAATTTTGCATGTGCCGGATTGGATGACCTACATGCTGCGTAAAGAACCTCGAGTGTTGTTGGGGGGCTACGATGTACGGGATCCTGAAGTACGTTGGCACCTCAGAGCCTTTTGGCATTCGTATCGTCACGAGGACACTTCGCATGAAATTTTTACGTATCACAGCGACAGACTTCATGCGTGCATTCCATATTTTCTCTACCTGGACGAGGGCCGAGGATATAGAAAGAGTCCTGTGATGATTATTGCATTCGAGAGCTTGTTTGGAGTCGGTACCAAAGCCAACTATGATCGGATAAACAGAGGCCGGAGGTGCTACACCGATGATGACGAGCACTTTCGAGCATGCTTGGATGCACAACTGCATACTTCAAAGGGAAGTTCACTTATGTCCAGGTTTCCGATTACTGCGATCCCTCATCAGTGGTACAGGACAACCAAGCAGATTGACAGGTCTCATGTCTTCCACAACACTGTCACGAAGATTTCCGAAAAGTGCCGCGACTTATTCTACAATGGCTGCCAAGACATGCATGGCCAAACATGGTACGGTGTTTTGGTCGGTGTGAAAGGCGATAGCCCAGCTCTTTGCAAAGTTGGCAAACTCACAGCAAGCTTTAACAGGCTGGGCAAGGACAAACGTGTTTGTCATCTGTGCATGGCGGGGCTGGACGACCTGCCATGGGAAGACGTCTCAAATCGTGCGTCCTGGCAAAGCACATTGCATGAGGATCGCCCTTGGGACGCTCAGAATCTTTCCGCTTTGCTTTCCATCCCGTACGATGCTTCAAAACCCGAAGCGCTATATAAAAATGATGCCTTCCACGTCGTGAAGTACGGAATAGGACGACACTTCACAGCAAGCTGCCTGGTCAGTTTGATTTTCATGGACATCTTCGCTGGGGAGCTCAACAATGTGGAGGTACTACTTGAAAGAGCATACGCTGATTTCAGATGGGCTTGCCGCCAGCTCAAGTCCTGCCCGAACGTCAAAGGATTTACTCGAGAAATCTTGCATCTAAAAAAGAATCAGGATTTTCCATGGGGTGGCTACAAGGGAAGTGATTGCACGCTGATGCTTCGTTGGCTTGTTCGCCTACTGCGGTATGGCCCTTGCGATGATCGAGGGGCACGAACCAAGGGTCCACTCAAAGACTTTTTTGCAGAAGATGAAGCCACACAACGGATTTTGGAAGCAATGCTAGATGGTGCTTGCTCTTGTCTTCTCTTCTTCGATATCATCAACAAGTCTGGGTTGTGGCTCAATCGTCAACAAGCTACAAAAGCAATGCCACTCTGATATGGAAACAGATTTAACTATAAGACCCAGATTTATATAAGCCCCTCGACTACAAGCCCAATACGATCCCGGCAGCCAGAACTTTAGAATTATACAAGCTTGGCCCTTCCTTCGGATTTTCTTGTGTTTGTTATTCATTGAACGCTTCGGTTTGTGTTGTATTGTTAAAACAGCTGTGATGTCATGGGATTCTCAACAGACCCCTGAAGGAATGCTGTGGAGATGTTTACATCCTGCTATGTTTTCTTGGCGAACAGGATGCATGAACGACGCGAGAATCGTTTCCATCTGGAGCCATCGCTTCATTTATTCCATCACATGGCATACAGACTTCGGCTTCAACTCACAAAAGAAACCTGCATGTACATTCTCAGCCCTGCGGCATTCCTGGCTGAGGCTGGGGAGGACTTCATAGGCAAGGTGGCACGTCTATCTCGACGTGTGTCGGCAAGGCTGACAGGGCAACGAACCCTGGAAAGGATGCTCATCAAGACTTTTATGGATTGGAAAGAGCTGAGCTGATTAGCATGGCCCCTGCTGCAAGAATGATGCACACAGGCTTTGGCCCCTGCGCAAGGATGTTGTGTACAAACTCGAGATAGCTAAGTTATGTGCGGTTCTCTATATGGGTTGCGGGGGCTTATCAGATAAACTTAAGTCCTGCATGTGCATTACCCCTCAGTTGCAGCAGAGTTGCAACTCGACCGATGTGCCCGGCCGTGAAATGCGGGCTGTCCATGCCAACTCTAACGGGAGGATTGGAGTTCGGTTACGGTTTAGGGTTTAGGGTTTAGGGTTTAGAGTTTAAGGGTTTAGGGTTTAGGGTTTAGGGTAAGCTTCGGAGCTTGCTTTGAAAGGACCCTGAAGTTATCGATACTGAAGCTATATAGGTCATATGTTGATAATGTACGTAATCTTGCCGAAATGTCGTGCCATGATTAAAAATTATAATTTTCTGGAGATCAGAACCGGAAGCCCTGAGAGCCTCAAAGGATCGCAGACCCACACCTGAAACTCAACCAGTTCAGGGTGTTTACAGGGTTGAGGTCTTGTATTTGGGGTCGGGTGAGGACCTGGGTTTAGGTTTGCATACGGCTATCGGCTATTCGAAGGCTTTAGGCTCAGGGTCTCAAACCCCAAACTTGACTGAAGTGTATCGAAATCTGTTGATTTGTCAAAGTTGGCCACAGCAATACCCCTAATTATTGACGAAACCTATCATATCATCGAAGTTCCTTTGTTGCTAGGTTCCCGCAAAAACATGAAGGCTAATAATGCTTTTGTGTGGTTGTTAACAAAACCCGAAGGCTGATATTGATTCGCTGTGCGTTTTTTCGTTGTGGTGGGTCAGCGAGACACAGTTTCAGCCCAAGGGCTGATAGTCAGTACAGAAACAGGTATGGCTGAAATATTGGGCACAAACGGTTTAACAGGTATGTATGTATGTATGTACGTATGTATATTAGTATTCGGCGGGGTATATGATTATTTCTTACTAGGAGC